TTCAATATTCAAATAAAATATATTAGGTTACTTATAAATGAGCACATCTATCAAAGGCGGATTGCCTTGTTAAATAGTATTTTTTTTCTAATATTTATGATTATAATATTTTTAAATTAATGTTTATATATTTTAAAATTTATTTTTTATTAAATAATTTTAAAAATACATCTCTACATCGGTCTTGTGAACTCCAAAAGAATTATTTTTTTCTAAATTACTTACTTTAAGACTTAAATCCTGGCCATCAAATGCTGTTTGTTTGAATGGAAAATGGGGAAAGGAAATTTCCTGCCGAGAATTTTCTCGGCCCCTCCTGCCTGATTCTTGGCCACATGGGAGAATATTCTGAATTATGCTTTCTTATGATAGATATATTCTCTTCTAAAAAATAACCCTAAAACCATATGTAATTGACTATGCTAATTACACTATCACGTAAAATAGTAAATTTGTAATTATGTTATGTTATTTTTTTTATTTTTATTTCACAATAAAAAGCAATTATCTTTCATTTTTTATCTCACTCTACCTGTATGCCATACAATTTGAATTTAAAATCTCTTACTTTCAGCGGAAGGAAATTATTATTAAATTACTTAGGTCGTTGGCAATTATATTATGTTATTAAATACATATAATATATTATTAAATAAATAATATTATATTATAAATAAATTTTTAAATAAAAAATTACTTATATAATAATATATGATAAAATGTTTAAATTCACTCCTAGAGTTATATAATAAAGATGAATTCACTAAAAAAAAAGATAAATTAACTTACAAAGTTTTTAACATAAATAAATCACCTCAAATTTAATGTGTGACGTTATATAATGTTAACAATTCATTTATAATAAATTTATCTGTAATGTAATAAATTAACGGGTTGTTAATATCGAATAACGTTATATATTAAATTTGAGATAATTTATCAAAATTAAAAATTTTATAAATAAATCTATACTTATTACTTAATTTTAAAAATAGATTTAAACATTTTATTATAATATATTATATTATAAATGTAAAATATTATACAATAATATAATTATATCATACTTTCCTAAGTTGGAGGAAGTTCCTTCTTGTAAAGAACAATTCAAAGAGTTGGCTTTGAATTATGTATTAGTTTACACAAAGCAGGCGATTTTGACAGGTGAGACGGTTGATCTAATCCCAATCATAAATTGCCAAGCAGTCATTATGTTATAATCATTTTTGTAAACATGACGGCATGAGGTTAAAACTTAAAAGCCTTTAGTTTGTCTTTTTCATTGCGAAA